TCTTTTGGGTCAGACCAACCCTTACAAGATTGTAGCAAAGTTTGTAAATGAAATACAAGAATCTCTCTCAATAGATATACAAGTGTAAGCTCACAACTAGAGAATATCAGAATATTAATGAAGCTCAAGTTCTAGGATGAGAGAATGTAGTGATGGTTGAAAGTGAAAGCTCAGAGAAGAATTTAATGGCTTATTGAATGCTCTTGAATGCTCTCTTGAATGTATTATTCAGTTGTGTGTTACTTCAGTAAAATGAGCCTTCTTTATATAGACAACCGAGGCTTAATATGTCTGTTAGAAGTAGTTGGAAGTCTTAAATGCAGAAAAGTGCCGTTGAAGATTCAAATAATCTAGAAGAGCCGGCTCTTCAAAAAATTGGAGGAGGCTCCAATAAATGGGAGGCGGCTCCAATAACTGGGAGGAGGCTCCAATTCACAAAATGCATTCTACGACACACAATTTGGCTACAAAGAGCAGACTCCAATATTTGGGAGGCGGCTCTAATCCTTGTGTAAGACTAAAAATGAAACAAGTCTTGTTCTGTGCACTTCCTATTATAAGAGCATGCATAAGTAAAGTTCATGGAAAGATTTTAAGCCTTCTAAAAATTGATTTTTAGAGAAAATATGCATGAACCTAAAAACTTGAGCTTCAGAAGATATTTAAATATGCTTTAACATTTAAATCTAAAGCTCTCACCATCCTATCTACCCTTTTCTCCATTCCCTGACCATGATCTTTTGAGCTTGATGAAGACTTGCTTTCTTCCTTGAAATTGTTTGATTGATCTTTGAAGTTTGAGTCTTTCTTTGATTTCTTGCAATCTTTGAGGCTTCATTGAGTCCATAGCTTGAGTACTTGAATGCTTGAAATGGCTCATCTAGCTCATCATATAAGATATGAACTATATATAACTCAATGAAAATATTAGTACATGAACATCATTAATGGTTTGTAATCATCAAAAATAAGCTTGACCTTTAGATAAAAATCCTTAGGCCAACAATGCTAACACTTGCATGTGAACAAAAATGCTTCTAAAGAAGCTCAACTCAGCAAATCACCCAAGCAATTGCAATCTCCAATCTTGTATCCTATACCTGAAATATGCCCCAGTATCGTAGGGGTGAGTAACATAAAGCTACTCGTATGAAATGAGCATGCATCGACCTACGTTTTACAAGTGTACATGATTTAATCATTGTGGTTCATTCCACCTAACGTCTATGTCAAAGGTGAGACTCAGGGAATATCCTAGCTACCTAAGATAATTTCTAGCATAAAACACATCCTTTATGCAATTTCAACAACACAAGAGCATGCTACACATAGCAACAAGATATAACATGCTTACACAAAGCAACCAGATAGAAACATGCTTACACAAAGCAACTAGATATAGATTCTCAAAGTTATCAACTTGAAATCTAAATGCTAAATCAACTAAGTATAGCAATTTAGTATGGATGTACTTAACAACATCAAATCGCTAATAGCCAAAACCACAGTCACAATATAAACATGATTGATAACTTGGAATTGAATGCGAAAACAAATAGTAGAAGACTTGGGCATCACGTCTCAGACTAAACCAAGAACAAATTGGTTATTCCGGGCATTAACCCGTTGGGAAGACCACCTTAGTGCGCACTATCTCAATTGACGAGAACTTATACCTCCCGCACTAAAGCTGAACTTTAGCCATATCACAGTAACAATATCCCAAGACTCCAAAATAATCAAATAAGTTCACAACTTATACACAATTTATATAATGCACTAAGTCACCTTCCATGCACAAGTAGATTGTATTCACACAACACATGCTCTAAATCCACAACTACTATAGGATGACAATGTCGAATCTTCAAAGTGCAATTCGTTACACGCTATAACAATATAATCCAATATTGAAAACATAAACTCATAAATTCATTATAAGTCAAAAGTCATGCTTTAAACATACTATCAATGTCAAATACATGAGTTAATCAATAATACCATAGAAACGGAATTTAATCTATAAACTAATTAAATTCCCTAGGTTTCAAATCTCAATCAAATGGCCTTCTAATCAATGTATATTATACAATATAGCATAGTATATACATACATTCACTAAAATCTCAATTAGGCCAATGGCACAACAAGGTAGAATTTAATTATATCATGATAATTAAACTTCTAAATTTCAAAGCAACTTCAAATGGTCCCAATTTAATATATACTAGTACACAAGTCCTAGTCATCATGATTATCAAGTAAAAAACTGAATTGGGCCAAGGGAACCATTAAATAGATTTTAATTAATCATTTGATTAAAAATCTCCAGATTTACATACTTGTCCAAATACTCTCAAATTAAAGTATGTTAACAAACATGCTAAGACTTAATTTAAAAGCATACTACAAGTTCATTTCATGAAAAGTATGGCCATAGGATTTAATCTTTCTCCAAAGATAAATATTAAATAAAAAGTGCAATTCTTATTCAATTAATCCCAATTTAATATATGTTAACAAACATATTAAAACATGATTTTCTAGCATGCCACAATTCCATTCTAAGTTATACACATCCTTGTGAATTAAATTTCATACAAAGAAATAATTAATACAAATTTTCTAGAATTGATACAAGGATGTATAATCATGCTATTAAGTTGTATAATCATGCTAAACACTCAATACAACACACACAAAAGCCTAAAATATTCCCTGCCTCAATTTGAGATGAAAATCTCAAAAGCCATCAAAATGGAACGGCTCCGAATCCGACGAAACTACTAGGTTTTGTCGGGGACAACACCGTGAACATAACCCCCATGAAAGCCCCATCAAAATCATAACTTGACCTCAAAACCAAACTCAAGAAATGGTCAAAACTGAATTCTAATAAGGGGGAAAGGTAGAGCACAGCGAGGAGAACAACAAACGTTAAGGCCGAAGACTTTCCATCAAGGAAAAGTGAACCAAAAGAGGAGAGAGAAGATGGCAGAACCCCTTGGGCTGCCATGGGAGCTCCAGGTCGTGCATGAAGAGGGGAGAAGATGAAAAATGAAATATCTCACCCCCCCTTTTATAGAAATCTCAAAAAGTGCCCCGAACGAGCCCCGCCGGGTCCAAAAAAGTAAAATTTGAGCAGACGCGCTTAAATGGTAAAACTTTGTGAATGAAAAAGATTGAAAATGATAAAATATGAACAACGGAAGAAACGGCATCAAAAATCGAGTCCCGAGCAGAAAGTTATGCCAAAACACGTTTGGCGCAAGAAGTGTGGTTACGCCAATAAAGTGTCAAATGGGGAAAAGACAAAATAGGAAAAATGACGAAATAGGGAAAATGACGAAAAGTAAATAGTGTCGAAAAACAAAAAAAATGTGGAAACGATTCGGTCCTCAAGGAAGTTGTCAATCCACAGAAAAGAGTCTTGAAAATCACTCCAGAGCACTCGAGACGACACTAAGCGAAGAGGAACAGAACTCAGAAAGAAAAGACAACGGAAAAAAAAAAAAATATCCGTGAAAATCCGGGCCATTACATTTACTCAATTCTTTGTATCTCTAATACATACTAGGTGCACCAAACATTCAATATATATAGACAAGTGTGCCGACATTCAACAAATATCAGCCCATATATAATTATCTAATCACTTAGTCTTCAAGTGAAGCCCACACAATAATCATTCCTTTTTGCTTTCCCATTTCGCTGCCCCCCGTATCCTCTTCCATCTGATGATACACTTTAGAAATAAACTATATTAGCCATGTGCATGAACCAAGCCTAAAGAATTTTGACACCTACACAAAGCCACGGTACATAGCCAAACACCAAGGAATTTCTTGGCTAAACAATTCCTAGTGGTCCCATCACTTTATCACCATTATTTCTTTATTTTTCTTTTTTCTTTTTTGTTAAAATTATTTCTTTATTTTTCATTTTCTCATCCACCCATTTTCTTCTTGTCCCATGGCTGGTGCATCTCTTTTGGTAGACAACATACATATATATATCTTATACATACCAAGGTAACAAAAACCAAATCAACTATTTCTCCTCTCATGAGCCCCACGAAAATACATCACATTTCGATCTTTTCTTTATTTTTTTCACTTTTTCATTCAACCACCCATTCTCCTCATCACCTTCAGCTGGCAACATGCATTTTGCACCAAAAAGATATATATATATATATATATATATATATATATATATATATTCAATCTCCTTAGACATTCATTAAGTGGAACCCGAAATCAAATATCTCTATTTAATATTTTCCTTTAATTCGGCACCTGAAATCTTCTCATCTCCATCCATTAATATAGTATGAAACCAAAAAAAATAAACTGTAAGTCTCCAAATTAGATAATAAATCACCGAAACTCTAATTGGATAAATTTCTAATTAAAATAAAATAATCAATTTTGTCAATAAAAAAATCAAGAGATAAATATAATTTAAAATCTTAAAAAAAAATCCAGGTTGTCACATTCTCCACCACTTAAAAAGAATTTTATCCCGCAATTCAGATCCAAAAATTTTCACATCCCCGAAAATATCAAAAGTGGTAAAACAAAATCCAAAAATCCTTACCCCAGGCGATGCGAGATACCGTGACATGAAAAATGTTGTGGTAGCTGACAGTGCTAATTACCCGCCCACAGACTCCGCAACCACTGTGATAGCTAATTAATGCCGTCACCCGCCCACCAAAACGAAGTCAATAATAAATCAGACAATACAACATGCCAAATCACAATTATTGACCACCTCAGTAGCTATTAGTGAACGACACCCGCCCACACACACTAGGCTATGAGCGGTAGCTAATCAGAACTAAACACTAGCTCACTCACACCCATCAACATCATCACCAAACTCACACTTCCGGCTGGACACAGGCTTTGATACCATTCTTTCATGCCCCGAATTTTTTCTACATAAAATTCCTCAATTTCTTCAAATCCAAATACATCATTATTACGCCCAAGATCTCAAAAGAAAAAACTCTTTTATTGATACAGAATCAATTCCTCAAATAAAAAAATAAAAATAAAAATAAAATTCTCTGAATAAATAATTTAAATCCTCAATGCCAACTCTTCCACCTAAGCCCGCTACTAGTAATCCAAGTTCATCCTCGGTAACTGAAACTGTACGGGGTGAGACAGTAAGAAAAACCATAACAAAGATTTCAAAGAGTTTCATGATAAATTTGCTTCACAAAAACATATATATGCTCTTAAACAAAATACATATATGTAATTTTAGCAAAATAACAATCAACAAAATATTTGAAATAAAATCATCCAAGCCATTCAAGGTATGATGATTCTAACACTGCAAAAGAATTATCATAGATCATCTGAGCACCAAAAATCTCGGCCATCGCTCTGTCTGTGCATTTCTCTAATTTTTCTCGCCATCTTTACTCAATTATTTGTATCTCTAATACATACTAGGTGCACCAAACATTCAATATATAGACAAGTGTGCCGACACTCAACAAATATCAGCCCATATATAATTATCTAATCACTTAGTCTTCAAGTGAAGCCCACACAATAATCATTCCTTTTTGCTTTCCCATTTCGCTGCCCCCCTTATCCTCTTCCATCTGATGATAAACTTTAGAAATAAACTATATTAGCCATATGCATGAACCAAGCTTAAAGAATTTTGACACCTACACAAAGCCACGGTACATAGCCAAACACCAATGAATTTCTTGGCCAAACAATTCCTAGTGGTCCCATCACTTTATCACCATTATTTCTTTTTTTTTTTCTTTTTTTTTTGTTAAAATTATTTCTTTATTTTTCATTTTCATCATCCACCCATTTTCTTCATGTCCCATGGCTGGTTCATCTCTTTTGGTAGACAACATACATATATATATCTTATACATTCCAAGGTAACAAAAACCAAATCAACTATTTCTCCTCTAATGGGCCCCACGAAAATACATCACATTTCCATCTTTTCTTTATTTTTTTCATTTTTTCATTCAACCACCCATTCTCCTCATCACCTTCAGCTGGCAGCATGCATTTTTCACCAAAAAGATATATATATATATATATAACCAACTAAATTCAATCTCCTTAGACATTCATTAAGTGGGACCCGAAGTCAAATATCTCTATTTAATATTTTCTTTTAATTCGGCACCTGAAATTTTCTCATCTCCATCCATTAATATAGTATGAAACCCAAAAAAAAAAACTGTATGTCTCCAATTTAGATAATAAATCACCGAAACTCTAATTGGATAAATTTTTAATTAAAATAAAATAATCAATTTTGTCAATAAAAAAATCAAGAGATAAATATAATTTAAAATCTTAAAAAACATCTAGGTTGTCGCATTCTCCACCACTTAAAAAGAATTTCGTCCCGAAATTCAGATCCAAAAATTTACGCATACCCGAAAACATCAAAAGTGGTAAAACAAAATCCAAAAATCCTTACCCTAGGCGATGCGAGATACCGTGACATGAAAAACATTATGGTAGCTAACAGTGCTAATTACCCGCCCACACACTCCGCAACCATTGTGATAGCTAATCAATGCCGTCACCCGCCCACAAAAACGAAGTTAATAATAAATCAGACAATACAACATGCCAAATCACAATTATTGACCACCCCAGTAGTTGTTAGCGAACGACACCCGCCCACACACACTAGGCTACGAGCGGTAGCTAATCAAAACTAAACACTAGCCCACTCACACCCGTCAACGTCATCACCAAACTCACACTTCCGGCTGGGCACAGGCTCTGATACCATTCTTTTATGTCCCGAACTTTTTCTACATAAAATTTCTAAATTTCTTCAAATCCAAATACATCATTATTACGCCCAAGATCTCAAAAGAAAAAACTCTTTTGTTGATACAGAAACAATTCCTCAAATAAAAAATAAAAAAAAAATCTCTGAATAAATAATTTCAATCCTCAACGCCAACTCTTCCACCTAAGCCCGCTACTAGTAATCCAAGTTCATCCTCGGTACCTGAAACTGTAAGGGGGTGAAACAGTAGGAAAAACCATAACAAGGATTTCAAAGAGTTTCATGATAAATTTGCTTCACAAAAATATATATATGCTCTTAAACAAAATACAAATATGCTATTTTAGCAAAATAACAATCAACAAAATATTTAAAATAAAATCATCCATGCCATTCAAGGTATGATGATCCCTACACTGCAAAAGAATTATCATAGATCATCTGAGCACCAAAAATCTCGGCCATCTCTCTGTCTGTGCATTTCTCAAATTTTTCTCTCCATCTTTACTCAATTCTTTGTATCTCTAATACATACTAGGTGCACCAAACATTCAATATATAGACAAGTGTGCCGACACACAGCAAATATCAGCCCATATATAATTATCTAATCACTTAGTCTTCAAGTGAAGCCCACACAATAATCATTCCTTTTTGCTTTCCCATTTCGCTGCCCCCCCTATCCTCTTCCATCTGATGATACACTTTAAAAATAAACTATATTAGCCATGTCCATGAACCAAGCCTAAAGAATTTTGACACCTACATAAAGCCACGGTACATAGCCAAACACCAAGGAATTTCTTGGCCAAACAATTCCTAGTGGTCCCATCACTTTATCACCATTATTTCTTTATTTTTCTTTTTTTTTTTTGTTAAAATTATTTCTTTATTTTTCATTTTCATCATCCACCCATTTTCTTCTTGTCCCACGGCTGGTGCATCTCTTTTGGTAGGCAACATACATATACAAATCTTATACATACCAAGGTAACAAAAACCAAATCAATTATTTCTCCTCTAATGGGCCCCACAAAAATACATCACATTTCCATCTTTTCTTTATTTTTTTCACTTTTTCATTCAACCACCCATTCTCCTCGTCACCTTCAGTTGGCAGCATGCATTTTCCACCAAAAAGATATATATATATATATATATAACCAACTAAATTCAATCTCCTTCGACATTCATTAAGTGGGACCCGAAATCAAATATCTCTATTTAATATTTTCCTTTAATTCGGCTGCGGAAATCTTCTCATCTCCATCCATTAATATAGTATGAAACCAAAAAAAATAAACTGTAAGTCTCCAATTTGGATAATAAATCACCGAAACTCTAATTGGATAAATTTCTAATTAAAATAAAATAATCAATTTTGTCAATAAAAAAATCAAGAGATAAATATAATTTAAAATCTTAAAAAAAAATCCAAGTTGTCACATTCTCCACCACTTAAAAAGAATTTCATCCCGAAATTCAGATCCAAAAATTTTCGCATACCCGAAAACATCAAAAGTGGTAAAACAAAATCCAAAAATCCTTACCTGAGGCGATGCGAGATACCGTGACATGAAAAACGTTGTGGTAGCTGACTGTGCTAATTACCCGCCCACACACTCCGCAACCATTGTGATAGCTAATCAATGCCGTCACCCGCCCACAAAAACGAAGTCAATAATAAATCAAACAATACAACATACCAAAGCACAATTATTGACTACCCCAGTAGCTGTTAGTGAACGATCCCCGCCCACACACACTAGGCTACGAGAGGTAGCTAATCAGAACTAAACACTAGCCAGCTCACACCTGTCAACATCATCACCAAACTCACACTTCCGGCTGGGCACAGGCTCTGATACCATTCTGTCATGCCCCGAATATTTTCTACATAAAATTTCTCAATTTCTTCAAATCCAAATACATCATTATTACGCCCAAGATCTCAAAAGAAAAAACTTTTTTATTGATACAGAATCAATTCCTCAAATAAAAATTAAAAAAAAAAAAATCTCTGAATAAATAATTTAAATCTTCAATGCCAACTCTTCCACCTAAGCCCGCTACTAGTAATCCAAGTTCATCCTCGGTACCTGAAACTGTAGGGGGATGAGATAGTAGGAAAAACCGTAACAAGAATTTCAAAGAGTTTTATGATAAATTTGCTTCACAAAAATATATATATGCTCTTAAACAAAATACATATATGCAATTTTAGCAAAATAACAATCAACAAAATATTTAAAATAAAATCATCCAAGCCATTCAAGGTATGATGATCCCTACACTGCAAAAGAACTATCATAGATCATCTGAGCACCAAAAATCTCGCCCATCTCTCTGTCTGTGCATTTCTCTAATTTTTTTCTTCATCTTTACTCAATTCTTTGTATCTCGAATACATACTAGGTGCACTAAACATTCAATATATAGACAAGTGTGCCGACACTTAACAAATATCAGCCCATATATAATTATCTAATCACTTAGTCTTTAAGTGAAGCCCACACAATAATCATTTCCTTTTTGCTTTCCCATTTCGCTGCCCCCCTTATCCTCTTCCATCTGATGATACACTTTAGAACTAAACTATATTAGCCATGTGCATGAACCAAGCCTAAAGAATTTTGATACCTACACAAAGCCACGGTACATAGCCAAACACCAAGGAATTTCTTGGCCAAACAATTCCTAGTGGTCCCATTACTTTGTCACCATTATTTTTTTATTTTTCATTTTCATCATCCACCCATTTTCTTCTTATCCCATGGCTGGTGCATCTTTTTTGGTAGACAACATACATATATATATCTTATACATACCAAGGTAACAAAAACCAAATCAACTATTTCTCCTCTAATGTGCCCCACAAAAATACATCCCATTTCCATCTTTTCTTTATTTTTTTCACTTTTGCATTCAACCACCCATTCTCCTCATCACCTTCGGCAGCATGAATTTCGCACCAAAAAGATATATATATATATATATATAACCAACTAAATTCAATCTCCTTAGACATTCATTAAGTGGGACCCGTAATCAAATATCTCTATTTAATATTTTCCTTTAATTCGGCACTTGAAATCTTCTCATCTCCATCCATTAATATAGTATGAAACCAAAAAAAATAAACTGTAAGTCTCCAATTTAGATAATAAATCACCGAAACTCTAATTGGATAAATTTCTAATTAAAATAAAATAATCAATTTTATCAATAAAAAAATCAAGAGATAAATATAATTTAAAATCTTTAAAAAAATCCGGGTTGTCACAGATCATTCCAACCATGCCAAAATGGATCAAGTCTTTTGTCCTTATCCTCAACAAAATTTTCCTTTTCGATCGATGCAATAATTCTTCGATCGATCGAATATCTTTGATCTTATCCTCACCTACCACTTTTGTCCTCTTCCCAAAAATATCTCAGCCTTGTCTTTATTCCGAAAAGGCACCGCCACGGTTCGATCGATCGAATCACTCTTATGATCGATCGAACCTCCTCAAGTGCGTGACAAGTTGATTTCAAGCTAAATTAAATGTGTGCTCGTGGTGCAATTATTGGGAGGTCCTAGTGCACGAGGTCTAACCATTGTGTGTGACATTTGAGCTACCTATATGAGGCTTTTGGCTATTTTGAGAAGAGATGTTGGTTAGTTAGAGAAACTTGGCTAGAGATTAGAGAGAGATATACACAAATTGGAAAAGTTCTTCCTCTCTTCTAGGGTTTCCACCAAGGAGGAAGAAGATCATTTCTAGCATGGAAATAGCCCTTGAGGGTTAGATGACAACATCAATAAATGGCTAAACATCTTCTAGGGGCTAGAGTTAACCCTAAGCAAGCCTCCTAGACTTTGATGCTTTGTAATTAATGGGGATTAGTGTTGTAATTCTTACCTTGACCTTTGATATATATATAAATCTTGTTTTTACAATGATTTGTGTAGTTTAATACTTCCAATTGATCATTTAATTCTATTCATATGTCTATGGATGCTAGAATGGATGTTCATGTGTTTATCTCTAGATTTTGTTACATTGATGCATGTCTATGTGTGTTAATATTATGAATCTAGTGATTGTCAAGGCATGGTTCTTAAATGGAATACTTTTGTGTTTTATTTGATGGTTCATACTTATTTCTAGATGGATTGTGCCACAACCTTAGTTTAATTAGTTTAATTTACATGTCACTAGCTTAGTTGTAGTGTAGTTGCTTTACTTTCTTAGATAGGTGGACAATCTATTCTTGTTGTTTGATGTTCCATGTTTATGAATGCAAGTGGCATATTTCTCTAATTTCATGATGTGCTTTGATTGTGGGCGTATGGAAGGATTAATAGCTTAATTTGATATGTTGTGCTATTCACTAGATTGGCTAGACAATGTATGCTTACTTGATCATCCATGCTAATGTTTCAATCAATGGCACACACTTTCATTTATAACACAATTTCCCCTTAATCCATCAAAAATTAAATGTCTAGGAAGGTGGTGCTTAGTAGTGAACTCTATGACCCAAGACTCCTCTCTCTTATTCTCTACACCTTACTTAATTTAGTTGTTTTATATTATTTTTATTTAGTTTAATTTGTACTTTAACTCAACTAACAAACCATCTTTTGATTACTCAACCTACTAACCCAACATTATTTCCATACAAATACTGCTTCTTTTCCCTTGGGACGATCCCTACTCACCCCCGCTATATTAGTAGTTAGAGGTAGTAGTGGCATTATATAAATTCAAACTTAGCCATACTACACACGTTTTAGCTTGTTGCCTCAAGACGACACCAGTTCATTCCACCTAATGTCTATGTCAAAGGTGAGACTCAAGGATCATTCTAAGCTACTTTAAAGCATTTCTAGCAAAAACCATAATATTTATCCAAGTAAACAATAGAGGATCATAGGATATAACGCAACAAGATATAGATTATTAAAGTTATCAACTTTAAATCTAAAATGCGTAAAACAACTAAAGATACAATTTAACATAATTGGTACTTGCAATACAACACGACAAAGATATAGATTATCAAAGTTATCAACTTGAAATGTAAAATGCGAGAACAACTAAAGTGGTTTATGCCACCTAACGTCTATGTTCCAAGGTAAACTAAGGGATCATTTCAACTACACAACTTATTGAAATGATAAATCCAAAGCATACAAGTATACAAGCACTAGTATACAAAGCCCTAAATAAACTTAAAGCTTTAAATCACAAACTACAAATAATTCATAATTAACAACTTGGAATTTGAATGCGAAATCAAATAGTGAAAAACTTGGATATCATATCAGATTGAACAGACAAGTTTAGCTATTTTGGGTTACTAGCCTGCCAGGAACTACCTGATGAGCACTGAATATTGCATATTCGAGTCCCTAAATATACATATGCTAAGGCCTAAAGTGATACTTCTATCCATTGTTAGACTGATTTATGTTTATTGTGTGTTATAGGTACTTTTTCAGATAAACGGTTAAAACCGAGACCTTATGATGAAAAGACTGATATCGAAGCTTACAAAGTCGTTGCCGGTCATTCAAAGCAAGCTGAGAGCTTAAATGGTGAAGTTTAGAAGAATTCTAGTACCAAAGCTCGAGCCTAAGTCCTGAGGCTCGAGCCCTGCAAAGAAAAAGAAGAAAATCAACAAGGCATTAAAGCTCGAGCCTTGTATCTTCAGAGCTCAAGCCCTAACCAATGGTGCTCGAGCCTTATAATACCCCTAATTTTAAAATGATAGTCTCGGTATTTGATTAATTGTTTTAGTGCATTTTTATTTGATTATATAATTATTTGGCTAATTAGTTACTTGGGATTTTGATTTAATTGTTTAATTATTTATTTATGATTTTGATTTAATTGTTTAATTGGTTATTTGTGATTTTGTTTTAATTATTTAATTGTTTAATTATTTATTTGTTATTACTTGAATAATTTGGTTGATTAAATAAAGTGTTTAGTTGTAGTTAATTGTTTAAATTAAATTAAAAGTTTATTCTATTTTTTTTAAAGAAGTTGGGCTTGGACAATAGTAATGGACCAATTGTTTGGTCTCATGGACTACGTTGGATTAGGGTGCCAATATATATGATATATATTTATTTTATTTTATTTTTCTTTCTCCTTAGGTGATTAGACTTAGGTTAAATTATATTTGCCTATAAATATATGTATTTTGTCTGCCAAGGCTTTTAGAACCCTATTCAAGTAACAATGGAGGCAAATAGAAATAACAAAGAGTTGTGAGAGAACGGAGAGAGAAGGATGAAAGGGATTGGCTAAGAACCAAGTCTGAACCAATGGGAGGTTATTGGAGCTTGCTCGTGGGTTGAACCAAGGGCAACAAAGGAGTTGAGAACAGTTAAGGATTGCCAAAAAATCTAGTAAGATGATGTTGAGATTTTAATCCGAAATCTTAAAGGCAAGTTTTTTCTCTTACTCTTTCCCTTAGACTTGTGTTCTATGCATGCCTAGGTAATCTCCAGGAATTAAACGGATATTAAAATTGTCTTGTATGCATTCTATTTCAGTTTTAAAGCAATATTATATGATTTTATTTGAGATATTAAACTTGAATTTTGTTGCATGAATATGTGTTTTGATTGTTGTATAAGATGTATCTAGATGTAAATAAATTATGAGGAGGTTTTAGGACATAGTTTGGACCCCTATGAACTGTAACAAAGGAGTACAAAGAGAATTTTACATCGCCGGAGGTGAAGAAGATGATGGGTATCAGTTACAGCTCACAGGAAGAGAGAGCCAGCTCTCTAAAGGAGGGATCCGGCTCTAGGAGAAAGAGAGAGCCGGCTCTCCAAAGAGGACAGCCGGCTCCACAAGGGGGAGAGCCGGATCCCTCCTTGGGGGAGGCAGCTCCCCTGCTGGCAGTGCACCTACGGGTGTAATTTTGGGTATTTTTAGACCTTCAGGGGCTAAGATGGGATTCTGAACTTGAATGAGGTGTTTTAAATGATTTAAATAAACATGTAAAAATCCCAGTATGGTTAATTTATGCTATTATGCTAAGAGATTGGACATCATGAAATTTTAATAGTAAATTGCATGTTGTCAAGGATTAAGGAAAGTTTAATTGCTTGTTGATATACTAGCAGATTAAATGGATTATTATGAAATTACTTTTGAGTATTTCAGTATAATGTGCTCAGTTTATATTTTTGATTATCATTATATCATTCTCTGGATTTTAATTGATGGACTACTTATTTGGTTTTATCAATTATTGGATTTTGTGGATTGTATGCACCGGTATGGGACGGTGGCATATTAGGGATGGATTAGTTCAAAACACTAAGTCCTACCTATTCTGGAATAAGGGAATGGATTAATTATAATGTTAAGTCCTACTTATAATTCGTGTCAGGTCAATGAATAGTTGAATGACATTACCTTGGTTTTGGATGGATTTATATATATATATATATGATTATGGTACCACGATATGAACTTGAGTCTCAGGATCGATGGTTAGGGAGCGTATATGCAGTAGGATGCATAGCTGGTTATGATGGTTAGTGGTGTACCCTGTTAGGTCTAGGTACTCATACCCACCTCATATGCTTTTTGCATGTTGCCTACTAGTCAGGTTGAGACCGCCTTGTAGTCCAGTGAGAGTCCCTTAGTGTGTATATATATATTGATGGACTAGATAGCTATTGTTGAGTTGTCTAGGATGTATCTGC